CCGTTAGCTACTGTAGTGAATCACATGCCAAATTATGTATTTATTGCATAGACCTTCTCATAAGGAGTTCAACAAAATTGGGTTTGCAATTTTAGAATGTTTCTACTAATTACTATGCATTTTAGAAAATTCACCCTATTTTTTGCATAAAAGAAAAAATAACAGAAAAATGGAACATCGGGGACCTTGGGGTTCTAAGGATTTACATCACTATTCATATGAGTCACAGGATTTGCATCCGGAACCCTAGAAAACTTCCCTAATCCATTTTCACCCTTCTTCAGACTACAGATGGAGCAGAAATAGAGGCCGCAGGTGCATCTATTGCCCGCCTATTGACGATCACTAACATCAATTATAAACCATCAACATAACCTGCATTTATATTTAATTCCATCACCAAACATAGATATAGGGGTTTAAACTAATGAATTTCATGAGCTTTGGTGATTTCATGACTGTAGGAGGATTTATCCAGAAAAAAGCTCCTGGGGACACTATCATACACTCCAAACAAGCAAACCGACTACAACAAGTGACTCAACCCACGAAACCTATGAAAGACGATTCAAGACAGAGCCCAAGCCTTGCCACCAAAAGGAGGAACCCACCCGACACTATAGTGGGCCGCTTGTCCCATGGGGGTGGCCCATCTCCCTCCGCCACCGCATACTCCTTCATATGATCTACACCGTTGATTCTAAGGCGGTTTTAGGTTGGTTCATCCAACGGTGGTTGGGAGAGTTGACGCAGATCGATGATGTGGCAATTCCTTGCCTCCTACTCCTCCTAGAGTCCTTGCCCATTACTCCACCTTGATTCCTTGGCCGCTACTCTACCTCGGGCCTATATATAGCAGCCCCTACCCCCCTCCCTCATGAGATCCTAAAACCCTAATTCATATCCTCCTCATCAGGATCAGAGCCAGCTCTCAAGATATAGAAGTAGAATAGCTCTAGTTGAGAGTTAGGGAGAGTTGAGCCATGCTCAAGTTCTAGAGAAATCATCAGAGGTCAGGTATATTTTTGTATCTTACCTTTGCAAGACTTATTCTTTAATATAGTTATCTTCTCTATTCACTTTTATGCCTTTCATGTGTATGGTTAGTATAGTTATCATATCTTAGCATGGGATTTTTCCTCGGATCGAGTGTTCTAGTTATTATATGCGATTAGAGTAGTAATTAATAGTGTAGACGTGGTGTCTAGACTATGAGTTACCTGAGATTGCACCCAACCCCACGGATAATTGTGGTAGCCCCAGGTGGTGACAGCCTTGATGGCCGATGTAGTCCACCACGTTTGGGTTGGTGTTTGTAGGACCATAATCGGAGCTTCCTAGTCTCTTTCTCATCCCTTTCTATGGCTAGTGTTTCGATGTCCCAAAGTGCTATTGTGTGTGATCGCTATATCTACCCATGCTTTAGTTATACCCTCTAGTCTAAACTAGAATAAAACCGAAGTAATAGAGAAGTATTTAGGAACCTTGAACTCAACCATTGTCCTCTTAATTTAGCCAGACTGCTCATTTATATACCATGGAATTCTCCTATGTGTGTTATTATTCATAACTCTTATCATCATCAACACCTTCTCCCACTTTAGTTCAGTTGGTATACTAGTTAGTAGATACATGATGGTGAACTATCAACTTCTTTAACCATTGTTTCCCTATGGATAAATACGATAACTTGGAATACTCTCGGGTAAAAGCTATAGCGGTATCCGTGCGCTTGCGGATTTATCTGTGTGCGTTTAAAAATACCAACACCGCCCCAGGCGCATCCGCCGCCCACCCCCAGGTGCTGCTGCAGGCCGCCCCCAGGCGCGTCTGCCGATGCCCCAGGTGCCGCCGCCAGCCGTTGCCCTGCGTGTCTCACGGCTCCTCCCTGCCTAGCTGCCGGCACTGACGGCCTCAATTGGGGATGACCCCGTCCCCTCGATTTGGAGGGACGGGAGTCACGTGGATATGCTCAGCATATTCTGAGCTGGGACATCCTTGTTCCATAGCGACTCTAAACCAAATGGCCTAACAAAGAGGTTCATCCCATCCTGTCCCACCAAATCCTAGCAACCAAACACTACCTAAAATCACTTAGTCCCAATGAGAGTATATGTGATCCAACCACCAAAATCACTTAGTCCCAATGAGGAGTATGTGTGTTCCAACCACATTTCTTGCTTTGACTTTCAAAGCATAGTTCAAACAAGTAAACTAATAAATGGTGAAGGAGTTATTGTTAGCTAGAAAAGGACGCAAAGAGTGGGAGTGGGCGATAGTGACACCACCGCTATCGGCAATGAAAGATATAAGACGAGCAGTGCCAAGAGCATACTCCTTGGTCTCAGATCCAATCATTTCTTAGACCGAGAAATGTCCCTGGTTAAATCTACTTCCAAAGTGTGGTAGAACTTATTAGATTAATAAATAGCATTGTGATCTTTTTCTCTGTATCACTAATTTATCCTAAACTTGCTAGTATTAGTTGATTAAGACCTCATTTGGCATAGCTCCACTCTACTAGTGAAGTCTTTTTCTTCTTTAGCTCCACGAGTAACTCTATCGGTAGCTGAATCTATTTTGGTGAATCGTTGGCAACACTCTACATGTGAATCTCCTTAGATCGTACTCACAAAATCCCACACAGAGCCGGTGGAAGCTAAGAGAAGCTATTCTTTTGAGCTACATCTCCTATCCACTCCTTGTGATAACACGTTTTAAGGAGCTCCACAGATACAATTGCTTTATTTTACCCATTTGTCACAAAACAGATATGGACAGTAAGGAATGATCATATTTTCAAAGACATTCAGCCCAGTTTAACAAACTCCAGAAGTCTTCTCTTTAAAGACATAACGTTGCTATGACACAGGGTGAAGTCAAGTCTTGCACTACCTTTAGATCAATGGATACAAAATCTAGTGTAATCTGCAGGCTTAGCTTGTTTTTTATTTGTTTCTTGATTTGTACTAACTTGTTAACACTTTAACCTATTTTGTTTTTTCTCATATATTCTCTATCGATAATGATACCTATACGGCATCCGTCCATCCGAACCCCGATCCACCCCTTACAAATTTCGCTCGACCCATTGGTTTGCACACGCAAAATATCAGCGATCACTCTCTCTCTCTCTCTCATGCCTCCTTGCCTCTGTTTTTCTCTCTCTGCGTGCCTCCAGCGCTCCTCCCTCCCACTCCCGCTTTGGTACGGGCGAGCATCCCGGCACGGCGGCTCCTCCCTGCCTCCGCTTTTTATCTCTCTCGTGTGCCTCCAGTGCTCCTCCCTCCCCCTCTCTATTTGCGGTGCGAGCAAGCATCCAGTGTGTGGCAAAGACAATGCTTTGGTGTGGCCTCAAAGACGAGTGGGCCATGACGTGAGGCCCGAGCGGCCCTGACATGGCGCGCATTGCGCGTGACGCCCCGATCACGGGCATACCAGCGTGGCAGGGCCGGCATGAGTGGCTCCCCAGCGGATCTGACTCCCTTGTCCTAGTCGTGCAACCACTGCCTCCCTGTTGCGCGCGTCACGTAGCCGCCAGCTCCAAGTGCCACCGGGCCATTGCCTCCAGTGAACTCCACACGTCGATGCGCCTCTATTCTTCCGAGCAACAAGGAGATGTTGCTATGTGCTGAAAGAGTACGTTGCAAGCGTATGTTTCAATTGTTTCAGATGTTTCAGAGGTATGTTGCAAGTGCTTCATACGGATGTTGCAAAGTAGATCAGGATGTTGCACATGTTGCAAGTGTTTCAGATGAATATTGCAAGTGTATTGTTCCAAATATTTCAAATTTTTTAGACATATGTTGCACGTGTTTTATCTGGGTGTTGCATATGTTTTACGCAAATGTTGCAAGTGTTTCATCCGAATGTTGCATATGTTTCACACATATGTTGCAAGTGTTTCATCTGGATGTTGCATAAGTTTTGCAATGGCTATACATGTGTTTTCATGGTGTTTCAGACGTATGTTGCAAGTGTTTCAATTTTTTTGATGTATGTTGCAAGTGTTTCATCTAGATGTTGTAAAAGTGGATCTGGTGTTGCATATGTTGCAGTGGAACCCATCTGCAACAACCACATGCTGCAGCTGTTGGGCCCGCCTACATGTTCGTGCGTATGGAGGGGTGCCACGGTGCGGACGTGGGACACGGAGCGGTGTGAGACACGAAACACACGCAGGCCACGGTGTGGGCATAGGCCACGGAGCGTCGCAGGCCCCTAGATGAAGCAGGCGCAGCAGGCGCAAGAGTCCGGATGCTAGTCCCGTCCAGACTTACAGGCACTAGACTGGCCCATTCTCTCTAGACTTATAGTGGCCCCGGTACCTCCAGGTTTTTTTTTCCTGAAAAAACAAAACAACAAAACAGCTCCAAGCAACTTGCGAAGCTGCCAGCAGACCTATGCCAAACGAATCCTAATTACCTTCGGGTGCTAGGGCGCTAGCATTATCCTTTTTTCAGACGGTTTTAGTTAATAAGTGCCATGTTCATTTGGCTGATAAGCCATGCCTGAAAGTATCGTTGACTGATTTACCGTGAGAGAAACATACTATTCGTTGACTGAAAAAGTATGATTTATAAGCAAGCGAACAGGGCGAAGGTGATTAGCTCAGAAACGGATAGATGAAGGTTAGCAGAGGCTAGTATTAGAGAGATCAAAACGTCTTCACAGTTTTACAGATAAAATCAATCCAATATACCCCGTGGAACATACACATGGTAAGATTATCAGATTATGTATATACGGCATCATCACTGACGAACAAGGTATGCCACGCGCGCGCATCGGCGTCACCACTCCCTGGCCAGATCATCTCGGCGGCCGTGCAAATAGCCTCAGGCCCGGCGCGGCGGACCGGTATCAGTATCACCACTCCCTGCCCAGGATCATCTCGGCGGCCGTGCCCATAGCCTCGGGCCCGGCGCGGCGGAGGAGCGCCACCGCGAGCTCATCCTCGGCCCAGTGCCGGAGGCCGCTGCTCAGGCGCTTGAGCACCCTCAGGTCCACCTCCTGCACCCAGCACGGGGTGCACTCCACCACCAGCCCCAGGAACCCAGAGACGTAGGCACGCCACAGGAGAGGTCGCAGCCCAGGGAAATCTTGCCGTCCAGCGCGCTGGCCAGGAACCCCAGGTGCGACCGCATGACCCTCTCGCGGCGCCGGGACACGGGCGTCGGGTCGATGCCCCAGGCGAACATCCCCGAGTACACCGCGAGGTAGGCCAGCGCGTGCCCGCCCAGCTTGTACACCATGCCTCCGCTGGCCCCGCCCTGGTCCAGGTTCTGCACGGCCAGGAACCAAGACGGCAGCATCTCCTGGATCAGGGACTGGACGAGAGCCGTGCCGCCGGATAGCCAGACGAGTGTCGCTCCCAGCGATGCCGCCACCTTCACCTGCGTCATTGCAGCGGAAAGAGATACCTGGCCATGCCTCATCCCGTACTTGGTCTTCTTTAGTTTGTCTGACCGATGTCTGGGCACAGTTGTTTCCGCGATATCCTTCACTGAAAGCATCAGAAGGGAGAGTATGTCCTCGGCCAGTATGGAGCAGTCCTTGATGCACCGGAATATCCGGAGGTAGAGTATTCCTGGTGCAACCGGTGAGAAACCACCAGGGCAGTACCCGTGGCCCAGAAGGCTGGCGACGCCTCCACAACTGCATACTGATGTCGAAGACATGCCAAGGGTAGCGGCGAAGCAGCTTCGGAGGAGCTGGACGACTGCCTCGTTGTTGTGGTGGAACACCGTGCGCGAAGCTGAAAATATTAGGAAATCGGTCCATCGCTTCACCTTCTGGGTCCACAGTGCTGCAACAATTGCCATGCTTGGCCAAGGGCAGCTTGCAGCGAGGTTCTCTAGAGCTGGACCAGCAAGGTTGAGGAAACGCTCTGATGCCTTGTCAAGCTTGTATGTGATTGTGAGGCTCACGAAAGCAGCCAATGGCAACGGAAGTGTACCCGAAGAACTTCCTCCTGCAATACATGAGACCTGGATTAGAACTCTGCATGAAAATTGGCACGTTGGCTGTAGCAATGGCAGGAAATGAACAGGAACAAGCACCTGTAACTAGCCTTGGAACATCAACACCGGTAGCAGCTACGATTTTCTTGATGTGCTCATCAACCATGGATAGGTTCACAGAGGGGCTAGGCCAATCTGATCCATTCATGGATGCTGGCTTCCAGACACCCAGCGTTACCTCAGCTGAAAAGTAGCTTACTATTGTAGCAAGAGATGCAGGCAGGAAATCAGCCAGATCTTTCAAGCCTGAAAAATGAGAAGACGCGGTTAAACACCTGACCCTGAATGAGCATGTTCTAACATAAAGGTTAGAAGCTACAGTTCAGAACTCGTTACACTTGATTCTCAAATAAAAGTAGCACTAGTTTCTGAAATTGCCTTAAACTGAACACAACCGACCTGTGGCCAGTTCACGTGGAAACAGTCTTCCATGGGAACAAGCAGTCAGAGCAGCATCAACCACAAATGGAACAGCCTCCAGTATCTCCCAAGCTGGCAACTGAGGCCAAAGATGTGAATCGTCCACACCAGGACCGGAAGAATTACTTATGCTGCTACTTCCAGACAAAGAACCTATAGATGTGCCTCCTTTATTAGCCTTTCTGAACATCTGATTAAGAAGGCTGTCCACATTGTTACGTACAGGTGTCCCATGCGCAAGTCCAGAGAGAGTTGAGGCCAGACAAGCTTGGTGTTGCTGGTACCATAACTTCAACTTTGGAAACGAGTCCATAAAAATAGGATTCCCAGATGATGGGTGTGAAGTTGATACTTGTGATTGCCTTTGTCCGTTTCGTTGTCTTGCCAAACTGCTGGAAGATAGAACCTGGGAATTCCGCAACAGCAGAAGATACTCAGGAGTTAGCTGCGAGCCAACTGGAGCACCATCTCCCATTATGCAATACTCAAGTGGTGGATGGTTAAACTTCCAGAGTCTCAACAGAAGAATGAATGCATTCGAGAAGACTGTGTGAGCAGATATTTCCTCTCCAGTTCTCAGTGTCCAGGAAACACTTGGAGAAAGACACCCAAATACTTCACAGATTGCCATAAGAACAGCAGCCAGCTCTGGAATCTGGTGATACGGGAGAGGAAAAAGTTCAGAATCCAAAGATAATATAGATTTCTGGGTTGAAGTCAATGTAGGTGGCTATATTTAACCATACCAGGCCATGGAATGAGAAGATTGGAGCATAGTCCACGGCCGATATTCCTGAAAGAATAACATTGAGCATTGGACCAAGCTTTATCAATTGGCTCTCTCTTCCAGAATAATCGATTGGATCAGATGGTGAGAGCAGTTTAACAACTAACCGAACTGTATGCTCCTACAAGGCAGGAAACCACAGCATTTGAATATGAATTACCTCAAGACAGCGAGATGTTACATTGATTCTCAAATAAAACAAAAGGAGGCGATGTATGCTACCATGTACATAGTAATTTTTTAAATTAATCAGTGATAGGGTCAATATTAGTCATACTATGGACCTGAAAATTGCAGCCTACTAACCTGAAAATTCCAACCTCGTAAAAGGGTGGCTCCACATAAAACAGTGGCAGCAGAAATGCTGTCGTCATCTGATCCATCAATTGCAACTTCAAATAACTTGTCGACCTCTGCCAAGCTTCCATCAAGTTTATGAGCTTCATTCAGTGTTTATTACCATAACGATGTATGAGAATTAACAAATACGATAATATTAAGATATATGGAGCTCAGCCCTAGTGCGATTTTTTTAATGTACACCATTGTACAGTGCAAGTTCTTATTTTGATTTTTTGTTTCTTTTTGGAGAAAACAAACATAACATTTACATGCTTTTTTTTTTCCTTTTTTCAAACAATGCAGGAGAGTTGCATGCCTTTCTATTAAAGAAGGAGAGGGGAAAAAAGGACCAATTACAATGCCATAAGGCAAGACTTATGCTTATTATGGTCAAACATTTTTTTTTGAAACGAATCAGGGAAGAGAGCTGCTTTATATTAAAAGAAGGCCACACTGGGTAGCACACAGCACAGCTGAAGCAACCAAAACAACAAAGGCGGGTTGGAATTGTCAAACAATTTTCACTATTTAGGAATCATGAGTTTCTAGTAAATGGCAATTCCAAAGCTTGGCAAATTATGCAAAGATATCCATTTTCCCGTGCGCAACACACCTGGAAGCAGGAGTTGATACCAACATATTAACCAGTGGTTGAGTCAGTGGTGCACCATTCATGAAAGATGACCACCCAGCAAGTTGGCTAGGGAGTGTATGAGATGAAGAGTTGGCGTGATTACTGATATAACCAGGCCAATAGTAAGCTGATGTATCCAGCAACTGCCTTGAGATACATGACTCCACAATCAAATGTCGCATATTTCCGCTGACAAAATTAAAACACGATTTATATTAAGACTACCTTACATCCATAACTAGAAGGTCAATCATATGTGTAATTCAAAATAAAATATTTTAAGAGAAGCCACATACTATAGTTCATCCCATTGACATTATCCATGTAGCCATTGTTTATACTGATTCCCGAAATGAACATAGCAGCTTTAGTAGCAGCCTGATTAGCTGCTGGGATGACACATGAAGGAGGAACAAGCAAGCTTTCATAATCACCAAGTATCTGTAAGCTTAGCATCAATTAGCTTTGCGTGAGATTACCAATTGCTTTCTTCCCATTCACATGACTGTTGAGTTCTGTTTCATTGCAAAGTGAATCTGCTTCCATGATTATGTCAGCAATCGCAAGTGTTGTGATAGACAACAACATGCACAGACGCAGTGTCTAGGTGAGGTACAGGACCTTCAATTGGTTCTCTTTCCTGCTTGTTTCAAACGATCAAAGATTAGGATGTGAAACATTATAAGGTTGTCTCAAATCTGAATAACTGAGTGAAGATCGAATACTCACTCTTTGTACAAGGCGAAGTGAAGCTACCCAGAGGGCCAAGAAAGCATCATGCCAAGTCGACCTATTGACTGCTTGAAGAGCCTTGACCAAACCTGCAATTTCCAGTCATTTAGATTAGCAGCAGCCCAAAGCAAAAAAATAAGGAAATGGCTTCATCATTCAAGATAACCAAGGAGTTTGTTTCTATTGATGAATGAAATTACCACTTAAAATCTCAATGGAATTTGTTGCAGCGATTGAACCATCGAGACAATCCTCAAGATACATATCGATAGGAATCCATAGTGAAGAATAGTTAGCACCAAGGCATCGTCCATTTGGTGAAGCTAGAGGGTTAGAAGCCACTGTTGGGTGGAATCTTTTACGCATATTATGTTTAGTTTCTCCATATGCATTGCCATCACCTACAATCAAATGCTGAAATGGTTCCAAGGATATTGCTGAATTTTGCAAGGTAGATGAGTTTGTTGCAAGTAAATGCAACCGGTTAGTAAATGCCCCCCAGTGAGATTGCCTGAAACAATTGAGATTGTTGACAATGTTATTAAATAAAAAGTGCGATATTTTTGCATAAAAAAGGAACTGCATGTATATTCCATTGTCGCATGTTCAGTGAGAATCTCCCTTCACCATCACTTCATTTATTAATATTAACAGAAAATGACTACTAGGTTTCAGTCATGAACTTCTAGTAAACTACTGCAGCACTTAATGTTTACATTCACCCATCAGTCCATCAGACCATCACAAAGCTTGAGTCCCAATCCCCTGGCTGCAGTTTTTATCAAAACTTTTCTTGGTTATTTAAGAAGTAAGGCAAATCAAATATCACTAGTGTAGTCAGTGTTACTTTTTCTTTTCCTTTGCATAACCCTAAGTGCTTCTAGAAAATTAGCTTCAATGTTTGCATTAGAGAAAAATACACAGAGAATATTCTACGATACATTGGTTATGTTACTGGAAAAATCTTGAGCAATTACTTGTACCTCCCCAAACCCAAAACCCACACAAACAGGTATAAACCAAGGCTTCGTCCATAAGCTTGAGTAAAGTTTATGAGGTCATGAGCCTATGGGATGAAGATCTAGTTTGTTATTTGATTAATTCATTTGAAAACAAATTACTAATGACCAATCAGCAAAAAGATGAATTCATCATTTCCAAATGATAAAAAATAAAGACCTGAAACAATTCAGTAAAAGAGTACTTCAAGTTGAAAAGCCATACATGTTTTCGCGTGCCAATGATAGGATACGAGTAATTACTTTATCACGAAGAAGATGCTCAATGAGCTCCATAGTTGTTACAGTGTTCATCTTCTGTAACTTTTCAATCTTCTCAGTTCTTAGTTCAGTAAAAGTTCCTTCAAATGTGCTCACATCTTCAGGCCTGGTTGGCCATTGAGTTTTCTTCTCTGGAGTTAACTCTAGCAGGCCCTCATCATCCAAAACAACATCAACCAACTGCCACATAATACAAAGAGTGAAATGCACAACAAAAACCCCTGGTTCACATGTAGAGATGCCAAATATCTTGGAAAGTTTAAGGTTCCCGTCTATTAAATCCATGATCCTGCAAACATAAGAGAGGCTTTAGCAAGGACCTCTTGTTGCTCCAGCAAATTTAACCGTGCAAGACAGACTCTTTTTACCATTGCAGTTGAGACTACTAGAGGGTTAGAGTGCATGAATAGAGAATGGTAGTTGGAAAGCCAGATATGACCACTAATCCACTACAGAGACATCACACAACAAGGTGGTATACTTGTGTAAACCTTATTATGACCACAAGCACCTGAAACTGAAATGTCCATTTTTAAGACTATTAGGAACTATGTTAAATCACATCGAACACTGCACCTGTGACTCTGTTTCTTATTCCAAACTACTGACCGGAGCATAGTGTTATGAAGTACAGGGAGCAGTCAGAGAGGGAAATGCACACTTTCTGAAATTGGCCGCTTTCATCTGATGATGGAAGTTGAACCCATGTCTTTTCAAGAGCTCTAGGTAGAGTCTATACTCCATTGGCCTGGAAAACCGGTGAGGAATGACCCTGCAGGACCAGAAGAACACATAAAGGCCATGAGAATAAAATTGAGAAAAGTCATAACTCCAATCCACGCACATTGCACGACAGCAATAGCAGCCAGTGAAATAATTAGTACTAAGTGGGATTTCCCATGTGCTAATCTAACTACTTTTCCAGTGCCAGAACACAAGTCAAACTAACTGCGTTGGCTATTACAAGACTCTGCCTCTCTATAAAAACAGGACGAGGATTCCAGTGAAGACCTGATTAGCCTACCTAAGTGTCCAACTGCTTATAATAGTCTGAAAACAGGCATTTCTCCCCTGTCGTGATCTATCTACATTGTCATTTGTCAATTACATTGACACTGTCACAAAGCATATTTCCCCCTCAAATTATCGGGGCGAAGCACGTCAGCTTCCTGGTAAAACTCGTGTACGGGCAACACCGGACACGTCGTCCGGTTCAAATCCTTCATACTAGGAGGAATTAAAAATGCGTGCGTGCATTCGAGGTCCAACTGATCCGATCGAGATTCCCGACAGCTAAGCGCTGATCACGCGCGCATTCGCCACTCCGATCCCACTCCCACCACCCGCGACGGACCACACCAGAGACACAACACAAGCCGCCGCCGCCACGAAGCGCCAGACCGGACCGTACCTGGTGGAGAGGAGCGCGAGGAGGAGCGCCGGGGACGCGAGCCGCGCCGCGAGCGCGGCCTCCGCGTACTTCCAAGCGGCGGCGGCCGCCGGGGCAGCACCGCCGCCGCCGCCGCCGGAGAGCAGCGCGCGCGCCAGCACCTCCGCGAGCCCCGCGGAGCAGGGCACGTCCCCGCTCTCGCCCGCCGCCGCGGCCGCCGCCACCCGCGCCGCCCACTCCGGCGGCGGGCGGGCCTCGGCCTGCGCCGCCTTGGTGTACTCCGCGGCCCACTCCAGCCACGCCGCGGAGGACGGCGGCGGCGCCAACATCGCCATGGCCCCGCGTGTAGCCCCCGCCGTCAAAGGCGGTGGGTGCTCCTGTCGCCGCGCTCGCCGTCGCGTGGAGTGCCCGGTGAGGGGAGAGCCGGAACCGGAAGTGTTGTATGCTGCAGCCTGCAGGTGCAGGTGGGGTGTGTGCTGGGTTGGTGGGCCGAGGCTGATGGCGTCCCGTTGGTGTAACCACCTCTCCCCACCGCACTACCTCGCCGTGGGGCCCCTCAGGATCTTCTGCGCCGTGCCGGCTGAAATAATGATCGATCGCTGATCTGTGACGTGTCGTATCTGAAAATGCCGGACTTGCATCGTAAGCGGGAGAAGCGGGAGAAATTGACTCATTCCAAGATATACTTCTTATGGTTATACTAAGAGATATATATATATATATATATATATATATATATATATATATATATATATTTTTTAAAAACGTTACGAGATGACAAAGGTTTAACAAACATAAACAAAGGTTTACTATGCAAAGCAAACATAAATAGTGGTCCACATTCGCGGTTGTATCTATGTCATGTGGTGTAATGCCATTCCACAACTTATACGACGTTTCTAGTTGACTAGCCATTTTGTCTTCTTTGAAGCAAGAATGTATGAGTGTGTTTGGGGAGGTGTATATAGGGCGGTCTGGCTCGTGGATGCAAAGGACTGTTTAGATGCATGTATATCAATTTGGGTCAGACTCAACTCATACAATTTTCTGCGCCGGCCTAGCTCCATAGAAATGAGATTAAAATCTATTTCTCGTGAGCCTAGCTAGCGTTGAACAGCTTAGGTGCTTTTTGGCGTATGTGCGCGACACCGAGAACGAAGATATTCAACGTCCAAATCATGTCCCCAAGGAACACTACGACGTTCGTGATCCTTTAATTTGTTGGTGGCAAGTGTGGAAGAGAAGGAACAATTTCATCTTCCAAAGGCAAGCAATGATGATAGGCCAAGCCCTCAATGAATGCAAGAACGAGGCAAACCTGTGGCCGAAGGACTTCTGATAAAGAGCAGAAGCGTTGGTTTTTAATTTGCTTAGGGGCAATGTAATCCTAGTCTTGAGATTGTAACTAATGCCTCTTGGCTACTAACAATGTAATTCCCTAATTTGTTGGGCCAACAAGGTCGCAAAAGCAATAAATTTGTTGGTGGGGATCCTCTCCGCCCTAAGCATCTTATAAAAAAAGTTCATGCAACTAAGCAAGAACCAATGTAGTCTGACTAGAGAAATATAAACCAACCAAACAAAAAGATATTGCATCGTCTGAGCCTAGACAACATGAGCTTGCATCCAAGATGCAAGTCAGGCTCATTAGGGAAGAGAACACACACCTTATCCTTATGTGATTGTCTAAACAATTGGCATGATATATGATTCATTCAAACTGACTGGTATCGCTAGTGTAGTTTATCTAAATTATCGCCGCGATCTAGAAAACAATGTTCTAAGATGATGTTTGCATTAGGAAGGAATGTCTATTGCTCATCTAATGATAGATGCTAGTTTTAGTGGATGGCTTTTTCTTGCCATTGTGACTCTGCACATTAATTGCCGCTGTTAGTGAAAAGTGTCCCCACGAGTGGATGATAGTGAAGGTATTACATTTTCTTCATATAAGAAACAAATGATTTACTTATTTTTTTTTACAATGTGGCGTATATAAAGCAATTTAACAGACTCATGGTGCACATATATACATCTATTGTAGCTGTAAATCGGTGAAGTTATATTACACTATTTGAAATAATATTTATGCATCACATCTAAACTGCAAACTTAGTGGATTTGCACGGTATTTGGTAGGACCAATATTTGACACATTGTAAACAAGATACCCTTCTAATGGCCATAATAAGTTATGAATAAAAGTTTCATGGTCCATAGTGCTATCTATCTTGTAAATTGGATATGCTACATGCCTACATTGCATTATTTTGGAATAAATTGTATGGCGATAGCTCAAGTATTAGACATGGCTGTATTAGATTATTATATGCCTGCTTGAAGAAATGGTTCAAGATATTTTTAGCATTGTATTGTATTTATAGATATGGATAAAATTAGGGGGTGGATGTATTTACAAACTAGGGCGTGGTCGCATCCACGGAAAAACAATTGTTACAATAAATCTTTATATCATATACGTATCTCTATCGTAAAATCTATACATCCATAAGGTCAGCGCACCTCCCTCAAATTAATCTCCTTGAGCTATACCATGGACAACATGGAACAGTTAGATGGGGTTAGACGTGCGTGACCGAGAAGATACGATGTTTGTTTGTTCATCTCAAGCAAATGTATTCGCCCACAGCAAGTGGGGTTCGCGCAGACGTGGAGGCGCCGTGATGCAGCCAGCCCCCGTTGACACGTGGTCCCGCCACGCTTGACCCCGTCGCTCGCGGTCGGCGAAAAAGTTGCTTTGCTGCTGCCCCGCCGACCAACCACACCGTCCGTCCGGTTCCGGCCACCCGACTAGCGGCCGCCGGCCGCCGGGGCGTCGTCCTGTTCCGGGCTGGCTCTTGGCTTGGCTGGGTGTGCGAGTGCGAGTGCGAGTGCGAGTGCGATGCGTTGCGTCAGGCTCAGGCTTTGGAGTTGGGACGGTGAGCCCACGCTCACCTACTACCGCCGGCCGTCAGTGAGTGAGTGGGAACTGACAGTGAGGTGAGGTGACAGGGATGAGTAGGAGGATCACCTGCAGATACTACTACTCCTGCATGCTCCTCCGTGCTTTCTCTCTCTTCCTACCAAACAAATCGTTTCTTTTTTTTCTCTCTCTCTTTTCTGGTAGGAGCAGGAGGACCGGTGGGGGTAGGTAAGGTATATGCATGCATGTGTTTCCGTGAGCAAACTGCAAACAAGTTAACAGGAAAGATGGGGGCCATGGAGATAGGATTCGGGACCAGGTCAGCGTCATTTCAAATGCGTGTTAACAGGTAAGGTATATGTCATGGCTTGCTGGAAACCTAATCATAGCACACAAGCAAACCCTCCATCCACACGTCGATGTCATGGCATCACTACACAGCGCACCTCTACACGTCGATGTCATTTACTAGTTTACTTTTTTTTTTAAAAAAAACTACTTAGAAGTATGATAGTATTCATGGTCTATAATTATAGAAAAATATATTTGGATCAACCTATCCATTGGACCAATAAATTCAGAACCTTTTGATAAAATGGGTCACTCCTAACCCCTAAAATTATCCTTGAGTCCATTGGGTCAGGTCACTCATAACGACATAGCCCAATTGCTCAGCTTGTTTTCGTCCCAACCAAATGAGGAAAATGCATAGGCGGTCCTTCAACTTGGCAAGGGGTGCCATCTAGGTTCCTCTACTTTCAAAAACGCAAATAATTTTGGATCCATAAACTTGGCTTCAGGTGTCATCCAGGTCCAAACGAGCTCGGGTGAAGACAACCTTTATATCAAAATTGTAGTCGTCAACAGGATCAAAATTGTAGCCCTCAACAGCATCCTTTTTTTGTGAGCAAACAATGTGACAAAGGGAGAAACGTAACGGCCGGGGGAGTTCCATTTGAATTTATTCTGTACAACAGCACGTTCCGGACTTGTCTCAGGTCGCTGGTTGCTTCTTCATTCTGAGGTACAACTGCATGTATCATCTGTACACCGATGGTCCATGTAGGATCCCTTTAAACCAATCAGTCCTACCATATATATGTCTAGCTAGGTACAACTTAAGCTTGCGGAGAGATCGGAACCATGGTAGGATCGTGAGTATATGATAACTAGCCATTGATACTGACCATGCCAAATTTACCTAGAGAAACCTTATCACTGGCATGTCACATGTTAACCAGCCATTGGTATTATTGATCATGCCAAAATTTAATGTGAGAAATTGGAAGAAGCCAAATGGCACCTCCAACCGTTTATTGCTCTTGCTCGTGAGCCAGTAACGTTCTCCGTGTTAAGCCTAGTTCAGTGTGGGTGCGTCATGTTACATCTAGTTGGGGTCCCTAGTCCAGAAGTCGGAGTTGAAAGCTGTGCGAACGCTTGGCTGGTACAGACAAGGCATTACTAAAAACTCTGAAATATATTCTATCTTTCAGACCAAGGAGTACAAAAGGAACAAATTGATAATTTTGGCCTTTTCTTTATTTTAATCAATTCCATCCTAAGTTGGTACCTTCCTTTTTTATCTAAAAAAACTGATAGGTTAGGCGCGTCTCGCTGACGTTCTGCCAAACTAGTGCAAAAGTATGTACCCATCCTAGTTTATCTGTTTGTCCAGTCTTTAAGGTTTCCCTTTCTACATATTTATGTATTTATTTTATTGACTTCTTTCTGTTACAACGTCAACGTCGATGTCATGGCTTGCTGGCAACCTAATCGTAGCACACAAGCAAACCCTCCATCCACACGTCGATGTCATGGCATCACTACACAGCGCACCTCTATTGTCCGGTGGTTAAAAACATAATTGAGTATTCTCCGCGCAAGAGCTCCAAGTGACAAAGGATAAGACAAAGCTGGGCAGTTTCAAGTTGTCCCGACTTGTATTTTGCCTACGAGTACGACGGTCTATATCAAGCTATTACTGAAAATCAAGAGTGCTCGATCGGTCTTGTCTTCATATGTGTCATCTTAGAGCGAGTGTGGTCCGTTTTCCAGTCTAGCTTGCCTAGCTCGCATCAAGTGGCCCTCCATCCTGAACAGGCTCAGCATCACATACATGATTGTATTGTCTGTTTGGTTGGATTTGTTTAGCCTAACTGTACATAAACTCGGTTCGATTACATTCATGTACAAACAAATTCTCAAATGAGATGTAGAATTGTCTATTTGGTTGCCTGTACATATGCGAGGTGTTACTTGCATTGCCTCCTGAAAGAGCCAAGAGGTGGTGAGAATATATACCTCCTGTATGCTAGCTATATCCAGCAATTAACAAGTGTTCATATCACACCAACTGGCTACTTCGTTACTGTCTGTGATTGTTTCTTTTCATCCTCGCATCATAGAGAAAGG